TTATATACTATGTTTAAGGTTACATAAACAATCACGAAATTTTCATTTGATATTCATAAAATATTCATAAATATATGCACATAAAATGATGAATAAACTCTTTTATTAATTAAATAATAAATATCCTATTACATCTCATGCTTCTAGGACACTATTCCCAACAGAAACCCCAACGACCACCACCGTTTACCACCTTGAGCACCGACGAACTCACGACAGCGAGAACCAACGACAGCGAGCACCCACACAGTGAGAACCCACAAACCCAGAATCACGCGACAAGAACCCACAAACCTTCGCTGGAGAAATCAACGCCTAACCCAGAAGCACGAACTGAGAAAACCTGACCCTCCTAACATTCATCGCCGGAGAAATCAACCACGAAACAGACGAGGTCAATGGCGGATTCCGAGACAAAGGTGAAAACTTTGTTGACTTTTCTTGTTTATTTGTTTTTTCTTAGGTATTTATTATTTTTTTTTCTTTTACCATTTTTTGTCATCTTAGAAGAAAAGATAAAGTCAGTTATTTGAAATTTTTTATTGTCATTGTGCTCCTTATTTAGTCTGTGAGTCTGCCTGATGGCCGGCCATATCATTATGACCGGTCGGTAATTGTATTATGACCGGTCATAAGACAGGCACAGCGTGCGGTCATAGTACTATGACTGATGGTCATAATTCTATGACCGGCCATCAGGCAGGCAGGCTGATAGTGTGACTACCTGACTGATGAGCCTGCGATCATAGCATTATGACCATCAATCATAGTACTGTAACCGCACTATGTGGTTGTCTTATGACCGGCCATCAATCATAACACTATGAGCGAGTCTGCATGATGGGCAATCATAGAATTATGACCGCTCAATGGTCAGACTCTTAGTGTGCCAGTCATAGTACTTTGATTAACAACTTTGTTTACGTTTCTTGTTTTTTTTTTGTATTTATTGTTTTTTTTTATCATTTTTTGTCATCTTAGAATAAAAGAAAGGCTTTGGAGGAAGAGATGTCATTAATAGAATGTGACATCATAGTCAGACGATATCTTCATAAGAGCTTCCCTGTCTTCAACAACATATCTTAAGGATAAACTTTTTCCTTGTGGCCGAATCTCAAGCACATTTCTCACCACATCTATAAGACCTATATAAGTTGTGTTGGTGGGGACCAATATCCCCTTCATTTCACAACCGACAGCACGGTCTCAATATCCATTGTACTTGATGAAGACGTTCAATCCAGCAGTTATTCCTAAATAATTTCAAAAATAATCACTGTTAATCAACATGCAATTACTCCTAGTCGTCATCGAGTCATTAGAAATGACCAGTCATAACACTGTGTAATAGCCGGTCATAAGGCAGTAATAATGTGCCAGTCATAACACTATAGGTCATTTTAATCATAATATTATGACTGGACAGTCATATCACTATGACTACCTTACGATCATAATACTATGACCGGTCATTTTGACTCATATTGTTATAATTTGACTCATAGACATTGACTCATACTGTTATGACTGATTGGTCATAGTATTATGACCGGACATATAACATTATGAGTCATAATACTATGACTCCCAATGTTAACTATGTCTTTGGCGTGTTGGTCGTTACAATCAGTTTACATATCAGTTATAAAATCATCCAAAATCTCAAATTGACGAAGGAGATTTTTAATTCCTATCACATTAAGTTCAACCCAGTCATTTTTTTCAAGTTCTATATACTAAATCTCCAGAAAAATAAATTTAAAAAGATAAAAATAAAACAAAACAAAAAAAAATTATGTACCAACCTCGATCTGTGCACAACCGGAGTATTGACGACGAGGGAATGAGGGTGTAGGGAAGAGAGAGAGTGAGCAGAGATAGGCCAAACTTGAGAGAGAGAGAGAGAGAAAGCTAAAAATGGGGTGTGGAGAGAGAGAATAGGCGGGAGAGAGATGAGAGTTTCTTTGAGGTGCTTTTAAATGATAATTTTGACCTAAGTGGCATAAAAGTCATTTTATCTCATACTACTAACATGCCAATACTAATTGTGAAAGTATACAAAAGTAATGCTAAAATTAATAATAATTTATTCATGAGTGTTATTATTTAAATTAACCCCAGGACTATAAGTTTCTTTTATCCTTCACACTTAAATGATGCCTCGCATGATATTTTGGACTTTATTAATTTTTTAAATACATATAGAATAGAGTTAAATTTTATTTGTAGAATTTCTTATGTCAATAAATATAACGACACTCGTAAATAATAATAGCATTTATTTTAGGGTTATTAGCCGAATTAGTTCATCCATTTTCAGATGCTTGATTCTTGGAAGATTATTCTCTCAAAATATTAATTAATTAATTTATTTATTTATTGACAATTCTGACCCAACACTAAAATTGATAAATGATTTTTGAAATTTTATAAAGATAATAACATCCCAATCAAATAGTAACAGAAACTTTGCAGAATTAGTTGCATTAAATGTAAGATATTCTCTTCATTCTTAAAAATCAAACATGTTGCCTTTTATGTAACTATTCTGAAAATATTTTAGTTAATATGGGATTGGAACACGATTATCTCTATAAAATTTAAAAAATCATTCGTCAATTTATTATCGAGGACTAAAATCATATACATGAGAATCACTTGCAGTATAAATATTATGTTGAGCTATACATGTTATACTTACATATTGCATTCATGAATTAATTAGAGTATTATACACATTCATTATATGAAAAAAGTTGAATTATTTGATTACCATGAAAATTTAAAAGGGTATGAATGATCATCAAATGCGAGTACAACGAGCAAACTATTCTGTCTCAGATCATTTTATATGAAGCAGGTAAAGGAGAAAAATAATGAGGAAAACGTTTATGCACATCTTGAAAAACAAAATGACATTCATGAAACTAAAATATAACTTGTTAGAATCTCCAATTGCACATTTGGCATTAAAAAGTGTGATGGTTACATATATTATTTTTATTTGTGTTCTAATATATAATGCTATTTTAAATACTGAGTCCACTTTTTTTTTTCACAATCATTAAACTTTAAAAGTTGTAAATTAAAGTAAACATTTACGTTCTAAACTAATTTAAAAATATAAATATCACAATAACGAAATAAAAAAGTAAACACATCAACTAAAAATATCAAATATCAAACTTACGGTATGCAATCCTTGGAGGCAAATTTGACACAAGTAGTAGATAATAAATTTGGCACATTACATTGGAGAGCGATTTTGTCACTTAAATGCTAAATTTAACATTGGCACACTGATTTTGCATTGTAATAGATTAGATGCTATTAGACGTTTTAAAAAAGATAAGACAAAACAACAATATTAGTTTTACGGATTTTGACATGTATGCATTCATGATATTTGCAACAAATTTTTTCATCATGTATATCATTGCTCTTTTAGTATATACTAGTTGAAAAGCAAATGCTATGCACTTGTGTGTTTGGCTCTTATTTAGAAGATACATAATTAAGAAAAGAGTATTGGATAGGCGGAGAGGAAATAGATCCTCATATAGGGCCATATTCGAGGAAAACCTTATGTTAGCAGGGCAATGAGGAACCAAAATGAAAAAAATAAAAGGCAGGAAGAAAAAAGTCAAAAAGGGACCAAACTGAAGAAGATAAATGTTTTAGGGCAAATAGTAAAAAAAAAAAAAAAAAAAAAAAAAAAAAAAAAAAAAGGATGAAAAAAAAAAGATATTGCCATGAAAACTATTCAAAAATATAAAGTGTCCTTTAGCCAAAAAATTAGAATAAAATAAAAAGCATTCATATTGGTTAATAGCATATAGCATTATTCACCAGAACACCAGACATTTGGTGTTCTTACTAGCTAATTTTACTTCGTATTCTGCAAAAGTCAATGAAAGCGATCATCTCATGCCCATATACACCTTATTCGAGCTAGAAATTTGACTAAATATTAAGTCCAAATTTTCTATTGAATGCCGTGATGATCCACGTCAAAGTTTGCCCATTAAATGTAAAACCAGCTGCTTTCCTCTTATGCATATACCATATCGTGTTATTGTTATACAAGTATAGTATTGATCCATTGGACTCGTCACTTACCCTAGGAGGATTAAAATAAGCTGGGGATTGGTCATCTGCTTCACCTGAAACTTAAGAGAACAAAAGACACGTCCATAGAATTAAAATCTGATATTTGTAAACTAAAGAACTAAATAGGATCAATATGTTGTTAAATCTCATAAAAATACATATGCCGTCACAATTATTTGGTATACATATATTATTCGTAACAGTTTCAAGGGAACAATTAAACACCCAGAAAATCAATACAACACCATTGCATCTTCATAATATTATTATTTACCAGTTTGCACGACACCTTCCTCAAACATCACAAGCAACAATATAATTATAATCTCTATAATAACTCATGCCAATGCAGTTTTTGAAAGGCCCTAATCATGCATGCTCGGGTATCCTATTCCTAAGACCTAATCAAGTGATAGCAATTTCGTCTGTTTATGCATATTACCACAAATGAGCTCTACACGCATAAAAACGAAGACAAGGGGAGACACACACAGAACCAGAAAACAAGAGAAACAAACCAATATTTACTTCTACGTCATCGTCCTCAGAGGCTATGGAGTGACTTGAATAATCCTCCTCTTTTATGTTGTTTGTATTTCCATATATCAAGAACAAATCATTGAAATTTGGGAAAGTTCTATTTCTGTATGATCTTGCATCAGGGTACTCCTGCAGAAGCTTCGTATGAGCTGCTATACATATAAGACATACAAACTATATCACCTTGAAAATTCCAAAAAAGGGCACCTTGACATAAGCATCCCAGAGTTCATCATCAGCTGTTATCCTTTGTTGCATTTCATCCCAAGCAAACCCACTCTGGTCAAGCAGAGCTTTCATGTCATTGAATCGTTTCCTCAAATTTAGAAAACGACTTTTCAAAACATCTTTATCATGCTGAGAACCAAATTCTGCACTGAATTTTGTAACCATGTCAGTCCAAGCTAATTTATTAAATTTATGGTTAGCCATACTTCCATTGCGAACTTGCTCGAGCATTAGATCAATGAAATGTCGATCCATTTGTGGTGTCCAATCAGTTCTCCAGCGATGATTATTGTAAACGTTAGCTCCTTCAGCATTCAAAAAACAATATATAATAAGAAATGGATATTCTTTTGTTTATGATATGATTTATAATACTTTAACAATGCTAGTAGGCTGCAGAATATTTCTGAGGAACTTCAAGACCAAATATGCAAGATAACAGAATGCAAAACCCCATAACCTGGACAAAAAGAAACCTTACCTCCACCATTGCAGCTAATATATCGACCTGATTGGCTAAACTGTCCATTAGAAGCTGAACTTCCATAAATTAAGCACAGATCATTGTAGTTTGGATTGGATCTGAATCTGTACAACTCTGCACCTGGGTGATCCTACAGGTACTGCATGTTAGTCACCACGTATACTTGGACATTAAGAATCAAATAGACAAGTAAGCACCTCAATATAAGCATCCCAAACATCATCACACGCTGTGATCATTTGCTCCATTTCATCCCACCAGAAACCGCGCTGGTCAAGAAGATCTTTCATATCAAGGTACTGCTTCTCCAACCTTTTAGCGCGACTCCTCAACACATCTTTGTCATGCTGTAATCCAAATCTGTCCTTGAACAATGCCACCATATCTATCCATGCTTGGTCATCAATAGAGCAATCAATCTTGTTCATTTTATGCACTTGCTCCAGCATGATATCAATGAGGCAACGGTCCATTGAAGGAGTCCAATTTATCTCACCATTTACAACGCTCTGAATCTCTTCCCCATCTAGTCATCATTAGACAGTAGTAACCAAATGGGGAACATCAGAAAACAACAAAACTCATATTTTTAGTTGTTATTACAATCATCCTAATTACTTATGTTTTCTATTCATTTTGTTTCTTGTTTTGTTTTCTTTGATTTTTCTTTTTCCCTTTTTTCATGGATTCTTCAGCATTTCTAGCCTGACTAGATAAATCAGCTTTTTTAACTTTGGTCTAAATTCACTCTATTTGGATTTGGAAATACATTGAACTTCTGGCACCTGAAATGAATAATCAAAAATACATCACTATGAATCTTCCAATGAAAACTGCTGAGCGAATTGAAGTTAAATGGTATATTTCTCAAATTTAGACTCTGCAATAAAAGAACTACGAATCAAATAAGAACTAAGAATCAAATTCTGAACGGATAGAAATCATCAAAAATTGTACTGAAAGAAACATAATATCAAAATATAAAGATAATTAAAAATAGGATTTCCAACATCATCAGAGCATTGTTGGTATAACGAAAATACAAGAGAGTGGAAAATAGCCAACAAGTTGTATTAAGTAACAAGGGCAGAGCATTGTTTATCATCTTCATAATTCAAGCTTAATTACAGGCGGAGGCTTTTGTTAATAACTGCAGGATTATAATTACTCAAGATACTATTAGGAAAATTCAGCGGACATAATTCTATTTCATCCAAAGGGAAAGAATAAACACACCAATCATCAAATCTGGATCTTCACCGTCAAAATCCTCGCTGTGAGCAATGTGAGAATCAACTGCAAACGAATGCCTTTCCCTCTCTTCACCTACAAATTTACTTTTTCCTTTTCAGACAAGTAATTTTTATACAAGAAATAATACTTATTATAAAAAATTACTGAACATTCAGATGCAGGAAAATGGCGGTGCATCACTATACTTGTCACTTTGATTCATCTGGTGCCACTGATATTCAAACGTAATAATCCTAACGGTCTCAGTGAGAGTATTAATGTTATCCCTTGAAACACATACACACACATACATTACAGTGACCAGTAACATTAGTTCTTTAGTAAACAAGCCCTGGGACAGCCACATATAAAGAAACAGAAAATTTATGGAACACTAAAGAGGAAAATCATAAGTTGGCATGTATTTACTGATGATTTTTCTAAACGACTGCTTACTCATGTGAATAGTTAAATAGAAGTTAATATCCAGTATCAGCCGCATATAACCCTAACGTAGTACGTAGCAATCTAACACAGAACACTAACTTCACTATTTACAAATCTAAAGTTTGTAACTCAAATATGAATCTCACCAGTTGTGTATTGTAAGACGTCATCTTCATAGTCTTTCCCCCTCTGCAAGTGACAACGAACTCCATTGCTCATTGCAGTGCCATATATTAAGCTCAAATCATGGTAGTTTAGCAAGGACTTCTTCCTGTAGGAGCGTGCATCTGGATGTGCCTAGATCAGCAATAATAAGAGTCATATACGAGTACGACAAAAACGTAACTGTCATCATGATGTGAATGATTGCATACCTTGATGTAATTTTCCCAAACAACATCATCGGCCACTATCCTTTGTTGTCTTTCATCCCAAATGAATTCGTTTTCCTCCAGTAGGCTCCTTACATTGGTATAATACTTGAACAATTTCTTATAACGCTGTCTCAATATTTTAATCCCATATTGAAAACCGAATTTTGCATTGAACGAAGTAAGGATATCTTTCCAAGCTTGTCTTGTAAAGGTATCGTTAACCTTACTGCCTTTTCTCAGTTGACCAAGCAAAAGTTTGATAAAATAACGGTCCATGGCTAGTGTCCAATCTGTTTTTACTTGCTCATTAGTTGCAGGAACAAGATTGTTCACTTCAAGCACTAAAAAAATGGAGAGAAAAAAAATGAGAAAGGTGATATTTAAAAACTTTAAATATAATACTCGAGGATACCATCGGTAATCAAGTAAAAGTTTGGTGATTTCATAATTAAAAAAATTACAATGCTCGCAAATGTCATTAGCAGTTAAGAAAATAAATGGTAAAACTAAAAAAAAATAAAAAAATAAAAAAGGATTGTCACTTATAGCCAGACCGCCTTATTTTGTCTTCATCTCATTACAGGCACATTGCAAGAGTGAGCGAAAAGGGTTATCACATTTACATTTTTCAGGGTATAATAGACTTCATTCCATCATAAAAACTTAACTTAAAGACTAGATTTGCAAAGGTTGACTATACAAACACAAGTTGTTCTTATAGTTTTCAAATCACTTACCTACATATAAGTAACCAAAAATGCTGCTGGGAAAAATTGTCATAGATCATAATCGAATCAAAGACATCACAATTTATTTGTATCATTCCTTTAGTATGTGAAAAGATGCAGAGGCATACCGACATTTAATGATTGGAAGTCATCATCAAAGTCTATATCATGACTTGAAAGGCTATATCGTCCATCTGCAGTTGTATGTGCATATATCAAGCACAAATCATTGAAGTTCAGTAAAGCTTTGTTCCTGTAGTATTGCGCATCTGGGTGAGCCTGCATGAATGCCGTATATAAATTTACTTCGAGAATGGTGAAAAATTTTGTACACAAATAAGAGGTAGAGCACCTTGGTGTAGCCATCCCAGACGCATCTTTCAGCAACCACCATTTTCCGAGTGCTGTCCCACGAAAATCCATTCTGATCAAGGAGATTCTTCACATCGCTAAATTGCTTCCATAAGCTCGTATAATGACTTTTCAACACATTTACATCATATGGAGATCTGAAACTGGAATTGAACATGACCAACATGTCATTCCATGCTTGTTTGTTGAAGGTGTGGCCCATCCTATTTCCCCTATGCACCTGATCTAGCATCAGGTCAATAAAATAGCGCTCCATTGCTGGCGTCCAGGTTGTCCTTGAGCGGTCTCCGACTAAATGGGTTTGGCTGCCCATCTATCTATCACTTAGAGCATTGAATATCAGTGGATCAAATACTACCAGTACATTATTAGTTACATAAATGTGTGAATGACATGCTAATTACGATAGCTGATAGTGTAGTAAGAATGTTTGTTAGCCGAAAAAACTCCCAGGCAGAAGAAAATCTCCAAAATACTAACAAAATCTATACGAACATTTTCCAATTACTTTCAAAAGAGCCACACAAAAATAGACTTAAAAAATGGAAACCTGAGAAAAACTACCCAGACGAAGAAACAAATTTTTAACCTGTTAAATCCATACATACAAAACTAATCGAAACGAAGCAAATACACCATAACAAATACAAAACCTAGCTGAAAGTCAACATTATTAAGCCTCTATCTGATCCCAAACAAATTCAAACAAACAAACGAAAAAAAAAAATTGCAGTGTCGAGTTAATTTTCTGTACTAAATTTCTCAACATTAGTCAAACACAATGCTCAAATGAGCTCAGGTAAGCTCCTGCGAGATGATACTTCTCCAAAACGATGAAAATCACAAGTTGAGAATCGCAAATGGCCCCAAAATTTTCTCGGCAACGAAACGAAACGAAACGAATTTCATGATCTTACGAAGAATAAAGCTAAGAAATATGTAATCAAGTAATTGGTAAGATGGGATTGGAGAGTCGTCGTTACCTTTGATATGTTTGCAATCCAAGAAGAAGAAGAAGAAGAAAGGTAAGAAGTACAGAAGTGTAGAGATTGGGCTCTCAGTTCTCACGGATATTTGGAGCTCTATGGTTCGGAGCCTCGCTTGGGAGCGTCTGTTTGGCTGCTTGGATTAACGTGCTCCCTAGTCTCTCCCTCGTTTGGGAATTAGATAACCCCTCTTCTCGCATGGGACACGAGACACGTTTCCGTTAATAAGTTTGGTTTAGCCAAACAAGTTGGATTGTTTTTTAAAGGATGGCAATTCGTGTTCATGTTGTATTTTGATCGTTTTTTTTTTAAATTTATAGTTAATTTAAATTCGATTCGTGATACGAAATTTTTAAAAACCGCAACACGAATACGACGCGATCACTTTAGGGGTTGACACGACACGACACGAAAATGACTCGTGACACGGAATTGATCCGTGAACTTGAAATTGACATGAAAATTGTATACTTTTATTTAATTTTTTACATATTAGAAATAACTTAAAATTCATAACACACTATATTACAATAACATCCATTGAAATTAAGTAAGTAATAGTATAAGATTTTGAGTATAACTATCATGATATCACAAGTTCATAATAAATTTAAAAATATGTAATGAAAAATATATGTATTTTTTAGTTTTGTACAAGTTTCGTATCGTGTTCAGGTTAGGCGGGTCTAACCCAAAATTGACTCATGTTTTTCGTGTTAATTTCAAGTCGACCCAATTCTGACCCGAATCTCTTTTTTTCAATCCTAACCTGCAAAATTTGTGTCATTTTTGAGTCGTGTTGTCGTGCCATGACTCATATTACCGGCCCTACCTTTGATGGTGATCTACTAGAGCTCTCTTACTTAGTATCAAGGAATCGAGTCTCATTGTGGACAATGAGACTGAAATTATTGATATGTTTAGTGCATAAGTTTATACAAAAAAATTTGAATGGGAATTTAATTATTTGTGAGAATTCACAAAACAATGTAGTAAAAATGTAGTAAAAATGTTTGAATTATGGCTCAAACTTAATAAAAGGACTATATACTTCTCATTAACTTGTTGAATATGACTTGAGCTGATACAGTATACGCTAGTTGACAAAAATATTGATAAGATTTCTTTACATTCTATAAATAGTTGCTTTGTCATTAGAATGGGTATGTGAGGACACCATTAATTTTCTTTGTTTTATCAGCCGAAAAAAAGGGGGGCTGGATTGTGATCGTCCGTCATTAGCATTGGCATGATCTTTTGGGCCCCCATCAAGCCTACCGACTTTGTGAACTAAATTTTGGGGATAATGTGTGTGTCTAAAATTAGATTTAGTCACGGATAGTCTATACAGCAAACTAATAAGTCTATGTACTTGTAAAAATTATAGGGTTATTTTCAATGTTGTCCCCCGACAAAGGTCGTCACATTTTAGGCCACAAACTTCAAAACGTCTCAAACTACCTACTCAAATTATTTGTCCCAGGTGATGTGCCATCCAATTTTTCCACCAAGCGGTGAGAACTTGCAAGACTTTAATGTGGAGAATTTAGGTCGTTTTCAAGCTTGTGGGTCAAAGTAGACAACCCCTTGATTTAAGAGCAAAATTTAAAAACACCATAAAACAATGATACCAAAACAAAACTTGAAGTGATAGAGGGTGTTTGGTATACACTATTCTTGAGAGTGGGAATAAAAATCTTGCATTTTCCCATATAAGTTCTAGAAAGTTTGGAGTAAACACCAAAAGCCGTCAAATTTATTGATTAAACACTAACCACCTTTGCGTTATACCAATATCTTTTCTTGATGTTTGACAAAGCAAAAGTTAAGTCCCGTTCACTTCACCGATTCGAGTTTTGCTACAGTTAAAAGCTCTCAGAAACAGTCACATCTAACTTTTTTGCTACAGTAAAAAGCTCACATAAAGTCACATCTCAACTCGAATTAAAAACTCGAATCAGCGAACTAAACAGGCCTTATTCAACTAAATTGAAGCATATTAAATGGTGTTTTATTTCTCTTTTTCCCTTTTTTTGGGTGGGGGGCAAAGAAATGTGCCTGTGTACTAAAAACAATTCAAGAATTGGCAACCAAGCATGCTAAACTCAAAATCCAACAGAGTTTTTCATTTCCGATGTCAAAATCAAATCCTTTACTGTTTCTAGTTCTCTTGCTAGTTTAAATGGCCATTTATGTATCCCCAATGTACTGAAACGCTAAAGTTACAGGAACAAAAATACACGTCATTCTCATCTATATTCCTCCGGCAAGCGATATCCGGACATAACTACCTTGTTGGCGAACATCTTCCCAGTCTTGGGCATCACGTGCCAGTGCAATGTCAAGTTGAATTCTTTTCCGCGGAGATTACTTCCCTACAAAAGGAAGAAGAAGCTGTTAAGTTGATGTAGAAACTAGATAGGGAGCTAAGGGACTAATCGGTTTCTAGAAAGGCAACATACCTGATCAATGAAACGGTACTTGTTTGAGGTGTGAATCCAGAATTTTGCGTTCTCCTTTGCGGGTATAATACCATCCCAAAGGGATATCTGTAAAAACAGAATTGAGAAACGAATTAAGCCATGGAGTTACTTGTTAAGTAATAACAAGCCTGAGAACATGGCAATATGCAGAGTACAAAAGCAAAATATTTCTAGAATCCAAACTCATCACCAAACATACATACATATTCAAAAGATACAAATCAAAGGGAAATAACTCCAGAATATTTATGCGTCCAGGTGGATCAGAAGCTTGCCTGATTCAAGGAGTTCTTTGGGGTTTCATATTCAGCAGCTAAGAAAACAAAAACCTGCAATTTTCAATAAGAAAGAATGTTTGTTATTTAGCTCTATGAAAGATTATCAGATAATGACAAGCATGCATTATGCTTAAGAACGCGATTATCAGATAAATCTCTTGCATTTTCAAAAGTATCCTTTCAGTGCTCCAAAAGGGCCCTTTCTCATAGATAAGGTACGTCACAGAACTAGAACAAAGAACAGTACTCAATATATCTACATACATGCATGCAGGCATACGCACATAGTCGTTGAACGCATACATACACATGTATGCGTGTGTGCACATATAACTATATACGTACATATGTGTGTGCGCGCATGTGTGTTTGTTTAAGCTACAATAAGTCGTGAGAATTCTCCAATACCTGCTTTGTGTTCCAAGTGAAAAGTGACTGCAAGTCTGCTGAGATATTCAAAGTCATGCTGACCTGCATAATAAGATGAGGAAATTTTTGTCAAACTTAAATGACAGATAAGATGGCATGACTATTATTAATACACTACAACAACTAACAAACTGGAATACACGACTGAACAAATAGAATATTAATGTAATAAGGAATAAGAAAAGAAAAAGGCAAAACAAATCTTAAATATCAGGATAGATTCTCTAGAAGAAGAAAAAGACAGGCAAAGAGTGGAAGAGATATAGTTGTGGATTCTGAACTTGCCAATGATCATTGCTTATCTATCGAGGGCTTGACAAGTTGTCTTTCAAGAATGAATCGAAAGGACCCCAACAAGTTGAAAAAGGTAAACTCTAATCTCGGTGTCAACAATACTTATAAGTAATACCAGTGAAATTAACAAGCCTGAGAACATGGCAATATGCAGAGTACAAAAGCAAAATATTTCTAGAATCCAAACTCATCACCAAACATACCTACATATTCAAAAGATACAAATCAAAGGGAAATAACTCCAGAATATTTATGCGTCCAGGTGGATCAGAAGCTTGCCTGATTCAAGGAGTTCTTTGGGGTTTCATATTCAGCAGCTAAGAAAACAAAAACCTGCAATTTTCAATAAGAAAGAATGTTTGTTATTTAGCTCTATGAAAGATTATCAGATAATGACAAGCATGCATTATGCTTAAGAACGCGATTATCAGATAAATCTCTTGCATTTTCAAAAGTATCCTTTCAGTGCTCCAAAAGGGCCCTTTCTCATAGATAAGGTACGTCACAGAACTAGAACAAAGAACAGTACTCAATATATCTACATACATGCATGCAGGCATATGCACATAGTCGTTGAACGCATACATACACATGTATGCGTGTGTGCACATATAACTATATACGTACATGTGTGTGTGCGTGCATGTGTGTTTGTTTAAGCTACAATAAGTCGTGAGAATTCTCCAATACCTGCTTTGTGTTCCAAGTGAAAAGTGACTGCAAGTCTGCTGAGATATTCAAAGTCATGCTGACCTGCATAATAAGATGAGGAAATTTTTGTCAAACTAAACTTAAATATAAGATGGCATGACTATTATTAATACACTACAACAACTAACAAACTGGAATACACGACTGAACAAATAGAATATTAATGTAATAAGGAATAAGAAAAGAAAAAGGCAAAACAAATCTTAAATATCAGGATAGATTCTCTAGAAGAAGAAAAAGAGAGGCAAAGAGTGGAAGAGATATAGTTGTGGATTCTGAACTTGCCAATGATCATTGCTTATCTATCGAGCGCTTGACAAGTTGTCTTTCAAGAATGAATCGAAAGGACCCCAACAAGTTGAAAAAGGTAAACTCTAATCTCGGTGTCAACAATACTTAACCAGATATCAAAACTACAGTTCATGAGCAACAAGATCAAATAAATTGCTGCATATACTCAATCCATCAAGATTTCAAGCTTTACTGGCTTGTTTTCTGTAATTCCAATCGTAAAATTTCCTTAAGATGCAAACTTATAATCGTAGTTAAGCAGAATCACAAAAAAAGAGTGGATTTCTATTAAACTCATTAAAAATGAAGACAGAGTTCTAAATTCCACTCAGAGAGTACAGGCCCGTTCTTTTTGTAGGTTTGAACGTAAATTCATATTTTTGTGAGGAAAAACATGACGGCAGAAAGGTTTAAATTGTGGTTCAAACCTATGAAAAGAATGAGCCCTATGTCTATTGAGAGTGGAAGTCAAACCCAAGTCACCTACAGTTTCTATAATAAATTCAATTATTCCACATGTTTTCATTTATAACTTACTCTTTGCCCTACAATTTCATCTACCAGAGAGACGAACCAATATAACTACTGATACCAATAAGACTACCTATATTGTTTCTTATAGAATCCAAGGGATTATTATTTCAATTCTCTAGATGTATTTAGTACAAGAAACATTTATAAAACGTGGAAAACAACTATACCGTAAGACTGAAATGCATATGTCAAATTCACATACAACCTTAGGAACACCAACTAGGTGTGACAAAATTCAGTCTTATATATAGAACAAAAACCATCAAACCCTAATTAAAGAATCTTGTGCTAATCAATTATACATAGATATGAATATAATTGGCTAATTATAAACACACACACACACACACACACACACACACACACATATATATATATATATATATTCGGAATAAATATGTTTCTTCATTTCGTAAATAATAACATAACAAAAGCTGAATCGAGCAAGAAATATATACACACACACATATATATATATATATATATATATTGGGAATAATATTAAAATTAAAAAAAATGAAACTATTCATGAGACGAAATCCAATGAATTACTGTTCTCGCCAAGTCAAGCCAGTACAAATCAGAGAAAACCCAATCTAAAATAATAGACATGAAACCACAACTATTTTCATAAACGACGGAAAAACAACCAAAACAAAGATTGAAAACTTACCTCGTCGTTCCCATTTGGTTGCTTCTGAAACCAATTGATGTTCAAAACCTTTAAAAAAAACCCAAAATCAGAAATCAAATCCAAATGGGTATTCGAAATCACGAGAATTGTAAGATTACGAATCATGGGATCGAATGATACAATAAATGATGATTAGAGAGTACCTGGACTTGGGCAGCCGGAGAAGGGTGATTGAGGTTGTCGGAGAAAGAGGCGATGGCGCACATGAGAGCGAGAATGGTCAGAGCGAAGGTCAGCAGAGCATTGGCTCTGTACCCAAACGAATGCATTTCTTCTTCTCTCTTCTCTTCTGGGTTTTTGATTTGCTGTTTGGGGGTTTCTTCTTCTTCTTCTTCTACTTCTGAGGAGTCTTCTACTTCTGAGGAGAAGGATGAATCAAGAATCGAATTGTGTGACTTTTTCTTTTTTTCTTTTTTCTATTATTTTATATTTTTCTTTTTTTGGTCTATTCTTTTATAATTTATCATTTAAGCCATTGCAAGGGGTAATTTACACTTTGGCTCTATTCCGTCTACTCATTGGACAGAACACGTCCGCGGGACCCACCTTCTCCATTTTTCGCTTTGCTTTTGAGTAGTGTGGCTTTTCCATCCATGCTTGTATTTTATTTTTATTTTTCCATCTGCCCTTTCAAGTAGTTCCTTTTTCATCCCATTGTCAACAACAAAAAAAAAGAATGAACGTTTAGAAGGGAATTCGTATCATGATTTAACTTATAATTTATAATTTATTATAATATTTTTTATAAAAAATATATATAAAATGAGAATGATTTTAAATTATAATTTTAAATTCATGAACCAAACGTCCTGAAATCTCTTCTTTCATTTTTAAAAAAAATTCTTATTTGTTGGTGATCGACACATAATTTAATTTTTTTTTTTTTTTGTTGATCACTCTCTCTCTTTTTGTATCTTCTCTGCAGACAAGAAGAGAGAATGAATTGTATGTTTTTGTACTTCAACCAAGCAATCCAATAGTGCACATCACTAAATATACTTTAATTTTAAATATAATGGTCAATATTTATACACATGGTTTATACATTTTCCCACACCTCATCTCACACCTCACACTTTAAACTTGTTCGCTTATTATATTTTACTTTACTTCTTTTTTTTTTTTGTCCTTTTGTTTAGTTTTTGAAGTTTAATACTATTATTTGACTTGTTATAGTAACGCACTAATATATGAGTAACATTTTATGTTAATGTATTGAAAAAGTATATTTGTTAATTGTTCTTTTATTGATTGGTAATGATTTGTCAATACTAATGGGACTCTAATTAGTATTCAACTAGTAGAGTTAATATTATTTTACTCTCTATTTATTTTCTTTTTTTCTTAACCTTATGTTTTAGATTTTTGAATTATGGTACTATTATTTGACTTGATATACTAATGTACTAATATATGAGTGAAACATATTATGTCAATATATTGAAAGTACATTTGTTAATTGTTTTTTTATAGATTAGTACTAATTTGTTAATACTAATTAGACTTTCATTAGTATTCAATTAGTAGAGAACATTATTTTACTCTTTTTTTCAATACTAAAAATTAAATTAAAAAAAAAGGAGAGAATAGGCACGTCCCTGTCCCTCGTGCTAGTCACTTGCGTTCTATCAATTTAAGAACCTGCTCACCATTAATTCTCTTAAAAGGTATTAATTCTCTTAAAAATAATTAATAAGTTACATGTTCACCATTAATTCTCTTAAAAAGTAATTAATAAGTTATCCCGACACCACTAATAATACTTAGAATAATAATACCTTTAAGGCCCGTTCACTTTTTGAGTTTAAAATTCGAGTTTTGCTACAGTAAAAAACTCTCAAAAACAGTTACATTTAACTTTTTTATTACACTTTTTTACTACAGTAAAAAATTCTCACATAACATCACATCTTAACTCAAATTAAAAATTCCATCACATCTTAACTCAAATTAAAAATTCAAATCAACGAACTAAACGGACCTTAATTTTAAAAAAAAAAACACCTTGGAAAAATATGTCGCGGTATTTTTTAGTAAAAGGCGAAAGAATAGTTCGCTCTGTTCTTACCACGCGACTCCTTGATTGGTGCTGTAGATGAAGTTCCATATTTATAGTCTAACTCTTCCACTTCTCCTTCGTGTCGTTTCTATGTGGGACAATTCAACTTTGCTCTTATTTGTGTCCATATTGTACACCCTATATTGTGTGTATATATATATATATACGTGTTTTGGATCTTATATGCTGCAGTTAAAGTGCTGAATTTTGGGCCTACTTTTGTATTATCGTATGCTAAGTTCTAATGCAAAGTATCGCAATAATATTTACTGTGGACAGTTTCAGTGTTACTTGCGCTAGAGAGAGAAAAGAGTGCAATCCTCTCGTTCATATTTCATAGTGAACATGCTAAACATATGGACGAGAACAAAAAAAAAAATGCAACTCCAATAATAGAAAAAAATGAAGAATTTTAAAAAGTAAATAAATACAAAGGAGGTACAATTGTACAAATCGAGTGGTGTCATGCATTATATATACCATTTAAGAAGCTTATCTAGTAGATATATAAAAAGAAAAAATAGCTTGTTTTCATTTTGCACTTCGTTGCTTGGCTGCTTCTTAAAAGAAAATAAATAAATAAATAAAAATAAAAAGTATTTAGAGAGTTTTCTCATTAAAAACCTTTTCACTAATTTTCCCATTAACATAATTTTTTTTCAAATATATCCCAAATTCAATATTTCTTCATGCCATACTTTAAAATGTCATTTTTTTCCAAATGCATCCCAAATATATATTTTTATTAATTTACCCTTTTTACATCAAATGCTTTCGTTTGTTTCTCCTTTTTTTTCTTTTTTTTATTTCTCAAACAAAGTCAACTTGTTAATCTTTAAATACTCTTTACTGCACATAATATATATATATATATAGGAGAAAAGAGGCATTTGTTTTGAACTTTGTTTTAAACCATCATCATATATATTATGAGAATGTAAGATAATTATAATTGTTCGTAAAAAATTTTTTTATTAAAAAAAAAACATTCAAATTGTAAAGTACAAAAAAGGTTACAAATGAGACGTACCTAAGGCACGTCTCTCATGCTATAAGTATTAGATGGTGTATACTTTGTTTGAGAGATTATTGGGCTGTTTTTTCTTTCTTTCTTTTTAAATCCAATCCTATAGCACTCATATTATAATTTTTGTTAGAGTTTAACAAGAGCTAGTTTAAGGACCAATGGTAATAGAAGTATATATTAATATGACGATTTTTTTTTTCTTGATAGTGGGTGGTATATTTGAAACGCCCATTTAAATCAAAATTTATTATTAAAAAAAAAAAAAACTCCCTTAATGTGAGATGAGAAAAAAGGTAAAATTATAACAACCTCTAATAGACTTAAATTACAACATTCTATTTACTTAAAAAAAAAAAAAAAAAAAAAAAAAAAAAAAAAAAAAAAAACTCTTACTTAGTCCACACACCCGCGTACTTATGAATAATTTTGAAATTAATAGTGGTATGTATTGTAATGTGTAAATTTGACACCTTTACAATTAAATGATATGTATGTTTAGAAGAGAGCTGTGGAGGGATGTGTTCATAAAATCAACTTTATAGTTTAAAAAAGGATGGTATTATTCAAGAAAAATATATTATAAAACAAAGAACTATCCATCTAATATAACTGTCTTACAACAACTTAAACAAAGCGAAAATCCACCAGAAATTTAGTTCGAAATCAAAGTTTTCACAAGACAAACTAAAATTTATATATATACAAACCAAATATAGTAATAGAGCCAATTGACTCTCATCAAAACATAACAAAGTACATAAACTAAAGCAATACATAAGCCAAAAAATTTGAAAAAATTAATTCTTGTTTATTGCATATGTATATCGAGGCGGAGAGTATCTAACACTCAACTCGAAACAAGATATTGTCCTCATCTCTATCTCATCTCAAATATTGTCCCCTAGGCTATATGTTCACCCTATTCATGCTCAATGGGCGCCGGCCCCGCAAGATATACTGCCATCCTAGACAATAAATATGCATTTAAAATGCTGCTACAAACGCTCAGCAAGTATTGAGACCACACTCCATATCCTACTGGACGTGTACAATTTACCACTACACATCAAAACAAATAGAAAATGACAATACTCATCATAGAAGAAATTATAAGTGGTTAGTTTAAAAAAAAAAAAAAAAAAAAAAAAAAAAAAAAAAAAAAAAGAAGAAGGATCACACGTAGATATAAGAACATTTTGGATTTTTAGAGCCAATATTCTTGTTACGTACCTTGGACTAATAACTAAAGGCAACACTCATCAGTTTCATGAGTAGCGCAATAGTAAAATAAATTAATGATCTTGAAACTGACTTTTCTTGGGCTCAAAATTGTAACCGAAATTCAAAATGTAAAAGCTGGCCAACAACGTAAATGATCTTGGCATTAACTTTCTGGTAATTAATCGGTTTCAATTCGTTAGAAGACGCTGGCTGGTTGAGAACTCTCTCGAAAACCAATCTGACCCAGGAATTTTCAAATTAAAAGTCCTCTCGTCGGAAAATTAACTAGTGTTTGGACCAATCCAAACCCGACAAGCCAGAACAAGATAATGCTGGCTAATTAGTAAGAAGAGCAACAAGAACAAGGAACAACCTTACTTTACTTTGCATGGCTTATCTAGCTGTCAAAGCTCTTCTTCACTGCCAAGTGCCCCTCCTACTCGACAACTCTTTGTTCTCTTACCAGGAATATTATGCTCATCTTCTTGCTTTTTCTTTTTCTAAACTTAGCTAATATAGGGAACTTCCAAACATAACGTCACTAAAAGCTAGTCCATAAGGCAAAAATCTTTCCCCTAAAAATGTCCATTTCTCAATACACCACTCTATAAAAACAAGCAAAAACCTCCTTCCCCTTTTGCCTCTCTCATCGATCAATAATCTCGCCCATGGCTTCTTTCTTCCTTCACCATTGCCCTTTTCTTCTCTTCCTCCTGATCTTCTTCTCTCTTTGTTTTTCTGTTTCCCCGTCGCAATCGGCCCAAACTGGCCCAATATTCAGGCCCAACAGCCTAGCCCTTCCGGTCCGCAAAGACCCCGCAACCGGTCTCCACGTTGCCAATGTCTCTAAGCGGACCCCACCCTTGCAGGTCCCACTCACAATCGATCTCAACGGTCGATTCCTGTGGGCCAACTGCGAGGGCGGGTCCTACCTCTCCTCCACCTACAACGCGCCGCTCTGCCACTCGACCCAGTGCTCTCAAGCCGTCGGGCCCAACCACTACTGCCGCACGTGCTCTTCACGTGCCCGGCCCGGGTGCCACAACGGCACGTGCGGGGTCACGGTCACTAACCCGGTGACGGGCCGGTCTGCAATCGGTGAGCTTGCCCAGGACTCTCTCTCGGTGCGATCGGCCCAAGGGCCCAGACAAGGCCAAGGCCCGATAGCTCGAGTTCGTCAATTCCTCTTCGTCTGCGCTCCCTCTGCGCTGTTACAACCCGGGCTCCCCCGAAAAGCCCAAGGTGTGGTTGGGCTCGGCCACTCACATGTGTCGCTCCCCAGCCAGCTGGCGTCACACTTCGGCTTCCAACAGAAATTCGCCACGTGTCTACCGCGAGGCAACGGTAACGGCGCCGTCTTCTTCGGGGAAGGGCCGTACTTCTTCCCGCCGGGGATCGACGTCACTCGCAAGCTGATTTACACGCCTTTAACAATAAGCCAAGACGGAGAGTACGCCATAAACCTAAGCGGAATCAAAATCAACAACCACCCCGTCGGAACACCAGTGTCGCGAGCCATAATAACAACCACGAACCCTTACACCTTTCTCGACCACTCGCTCTTCGTTGCTTTGACGAACGTTTTCGCCAACCAACTCAAAATCCCCCGAGTGCAGCCCGTGGCGCCATTCGGGGCTTGTTTCGACGCCAAAGGAATCGCGAGCACGAGAATCGGGCCCGCGGTGCCACCGGTCGACCTGTCCCTACATGACCAAAGCACGAGGTGGAGGATTTTGGGGGCAAACTCGATGATCGAGGCTCGACCGGGGGTGATGTGCTTGGCGTTCGTGGACGGAGGGGCGAGGCCTCACGGGAGTTCGATGGTGATAGGGGCGTACCAGCTGGAGGACAATCTGGTCCAGTTTGATCTGGTCAAGTCGATGTTGGGATTCAGCTCTTCGTTGCTGTTCCGCAGGACTAGTTGCTCCAACTTCAACTTCACCTCTAGTACTACTAGTCCGTGAATGTAATGTACAACATGTTGAAGCCTACTTATGTATTGTGTTGTGATGTATGTATGTGCGTATGTAGTGCTTTTAATGGCGTGAATAATGATAATGAAGAATAAGAAGCTTGTGTTTGTTATATAATTGTTTGTTTTTTTTACTACACAGATATGAAATTTCGTTGAGGATCGATGGAATCTAACAGTTAAGTGTTAATTTGGTTGGAATTATAGACATCCATAAATCCAAAATAATATCCTTTCATGCCCAATATCCCTATCATGAGCATTGAACAAGTTATGGCAGGTGGTCCAACTTGTATGAAAATTTCTTATAATTTGTTATCGCAGAGAAGAATAAAAGACTAGGAGAAAAAAACAGATAAAAAGAAATTGAAAAGAACTCGATGATTTTAACAACTATACATATGTCATTTAGCTACAGTACTAATAAGAATCCATAGCTGGCCTTAGATGTGTCGTTACAGATAAAAAGAAATTGAAAAGAACTCGATGATTTTAACAACTATACATATGTCCTTTAGCTACAGTACTAATAAGAATCCATAGCTGGCCTTAGATGTGTCGT